TCACTCAACGTAAAACTGATTTTAAAACAAAAAATGAACATTTCCCATATACTTTTATAAGGTTATTAATATTTTTATTTGAACGAAAATGAAAATAATTATAAAATAAAATTATTTATTTATAAAAACAAATTAAAGTTCACTGGAACAGTCCAAACAAAATCACTACATACTGTACACGCTCCTTCATCTCTGTGTTCTCTTTCGTCATTTTGGATATCTGATTTTCAAGTGAACTGGACTTCGCTTTCCCGTCCCTGATCTCCTTTGCGTTAAACTCAATCCCTTTGGACAGTTCGGCGATCATGATCGAATTCTGTTTTATCTGAGACCCAAAACACTCCGTCATCTCTGTTAGATTATTAACTGCGTCGAGAATGGTGGCGTTGGAGACCTCAGGCTGAGTATCCCCTTGTGTTTTTTTCTGTGGCACCCGAATTTTGTTTGGTGTAGAATCTAATGGTCTTCTTACACTCACCGACATACTTTCCATCTCTTCACTTGCAGGAGTTGCGTAGTGGTGAGATGTTAATGGGTGTACCCCCAAATCAGCGTCATTTGCTACACATGTTTTCAGCTTTGGCATTTTTAAACTAAGGGTGCTTTCACACCTGTGAATCGATTCAGTTGTTCTGAAACAGAGATTACAAATGTTACATTGTTGCTCTTTGCTCTTGGTGCGGTTCGCTTTCACACTGCAAAGTTTCTAATCGGACCAAAAGAGCTAAAACAAGTCATGTGCGAGTAAACTCTCCTCACATTGGTCAGAGTGTCAGGGTTTGTTTTGCAGCGTCCCGCTCAGCTGTCAGGAGAGGTGGTGGTTTGGTGGTGATTGACAGGGTGTGCGCGCGACGTGTCTGAGGAGAGATGCGGTGGGGAGGGGTGAGAAGGGTGCGCGACGATGCCTATTTGAGGACCGGGAGGGAGACGCGAGATTACCGGGAGATCATCACTCGTTTGCGGGCATCCGGAGCCTCGCGAAACTTCCCGCCATACTCATAATTCTCTCTTCATATAGCCATAAGCCTATTACATATCCATAAAACACTGTGATATAACCGCGCTCGGATCGGATCGCTTTCTCACTGCAATCAAACCGCTTCAGGGTTTGTTTCAATCGAGCTGAGACCACCTCATTCAAGCGAACTTGGAGCGTTTACTTTGGCGCGGAACAGAGCGCGATTGCCCTGTTCACATACAGGTATGCCAAACGAACAGCGCTAACTGGGCAAACGAGACAGGTTCCGAAACAAAAGTGTAGGTGTGAAAACACCCTAAAAATCTCTTCACAGGCCCCTGGGCCTGTGCCCATAAGGCCCATAGTTAATCCGGCCCTGCTGAAAGCACTTCCCTGTTCCTGCGTTCCTAAGTAATCGATCAGCTGGGTGCTGCGGAGTGCACGCCTCTCTGCGCACGCTTCACTTATAGCAGGGGTGTCCAAACTACGGCCCGCGGGCCATCTGCGACCCGCAATCAGTTTTGTGGCGGCCCGCGAGGCTTTTTATAAATTACAATAGAATCTGGCCCGCTATACAAAAATGAACGTAATTCAATAAATAACCACCGGGTGTCGCTATTACATGCATTCAATTAAGCAGCAGTTCTTGTTATGATCTATCTATCTATCTATCTATCTATCTATCTATCTGTCTGTCCGTCCGTCCGTCCGTCCGTCCGTCCGTCCGTCTGTCTGTCTGTCTATCTATCTACACACAGTTGAAGTCAGAATTATTATCCCCTCTTTGATTTATTTCTTCTTTATTAAATATTTCCCAAATGATGTTTAACAGAGCAAGGACATTTTCACAGTATGTCTGATAATATTTTTTCTTCTGGAGAAAGACTTACTTCTTTTATTTTACTTGTTTTTATTTTTTTATGAACCCTTTTAAGGTCAAAATTATCAGGTCCGTAAGTCTTCAGAACAAACCATTGTTTTAAAATAACTTGCCTAATTACCTTAACTTGACTAGTTGACCTAATTAACCTAGTTAAGCCTTTAAATGTCACTTTAAGCTGGATAGAAGTGTCTTGAAGAATATCTAGTCAAATATTTTTTACTGTCATCATGGCAAAGATAAAATAAATCAGTTATTAGAAATGCGTTACTAAATTATTATGTAATTATTAATATTATGTTTAGAAATGTGTGGAAATATCATATATATCATCATATATATATATATATATATATATATATATATATATATATATATATATATATATATATATATATGCGTGTCTGTGTGATGTATGTAAAATTTGGCCCGGGACAACGTATTTTTTTTGCATCTGGCCCTCGGCCCAAAAAGTTTGGACACCCCTGACTTATAGGGAACAAATAGCATTTTAAAGATACGGCACAACATTGCACCTCGTCCACAGTGCGACAGGCTTTACACTTTGCATTGTACAAATATCAGACGGTCCTCTTTACAGCATGGCAAACAAACATATTAAAATTGTAAAGCAAAAAGTGCTGCAATAACAATGAATGGAGCTGTCATCACATCAGCGAGTGCTCAGAGCTTCACTCCTGTTACACTGATGACAGCTGGATGAGCTCTGCAGTGGACCTCTTACTCACATTGGTTCATAACTGGATGATTAAAAAAAATAAATTGTACACACCCTGAGTAAAACCACTATAGCCTATAAAAATTATAATGTACCTGTTTGTGTTATGTTATAGAGCTAATTAATTATTAAATATTAAAATGTATTAGTGCTCTGTATTTAATGGAGCTCAACATATCTGATCAAATTTTAATACTCTGAATATAAATGCATTTTTGTTCCACTTGTTCCCATATTTATTTGTGTAACTAATTTAAATGTAATGTTCAGTATTATTATTAATAGAACAAACTGGTATGGACATTTTAAAGTCAGCAAAGCTTCTAAAATTATGCAAAGTAAAACTTGTGGCTCTTTGAACTTGAATACCCAATTCTAGATTGCATTTAGGAAATTATTTGTTTATCAGTGTAAGTCAGGATTGTCGACCTGAGTAAATTATGATGTGCACAAAAAAAAGGAATAAAAATAAACAAAACACACTGAACCACTACAGCCTCCATTGTAGTATTGCTGGTTACAACAGTACAGTTAACCATTAACAGGCTGATGAATGACAAAACTCTTTAAAACTTTAAAGCTTTAAATACATTTAGAGTCTCAGCTGTAAGGGTAAATACAGAAGAGTCTAGCTGTGCAATGGCAGAAAAAAGAAAAAAAGCATAAAAATGGCTTAAAAAACTGCAAAGTGACGACTCGAACACAAAATATGGCTTGATGGAATAATCCAGTGAGAGCAGACCACAATGAACACTGCGCATGAAGATTTGATCAATAGATTGAAGCACTGAAACCGTCAACTCAACTAACATCTTACTAAAATTAATCCAGATAATGAATAATATACATTTATTGAATAATATATAATAATATAAATGTATTGAATAATACAATTTTTAGAAAATTAAGTACAGTTGTTAATTTGAGGGGGTGGCATCATTTTTATTTTTTGAGGGTCCCCGAAAGAATTCGCCCTACACAAAGGGGCCCTCAGCTGAAAAACTTTGAAAACCCCTGATCTAGTCTACTGATGTACAGTCTGTATGTGTGTGTGTGTGTGTGTGTGTGTGTGTGTGTATATTTCTACATGTTTCTAGTCTACTGATGTAAAGACTGTATGTGTGTGTGTGTGTGTGTGTGTGTGTGTGTGTTTGTGTGTGTGTGTGTTTACAAGTGTATAGTCTACTGATATACAGACTGTATATGTGTGTGTGTGTGTGTTTGTGTGTGTTTGTGTGTGTCTGTGTGTATTTCTACATGTTTCTAGTGATTTTATTTTGTATAAATAGTTCTCATTAATTATTATCTCTATATCTGAGTGAATCATTATTGAGTTCATTGGTAGAATCTGATCATGAGTTCATACAGCGACACTCGCGCGCCCTCATGTGGCCAGAGAGGGAATGACACTGTAATCGCTGCACTGTAATAAAGGAGAGCTGGAGATGTTTATGGCGGAATTATGAGAAAACAACAGACTGTTATACGACATAAACGTATTATTCCTCAATCTTCCTCTTCTGAGACTAATTTCTATATGCATATTCTCCAAAAATGTTCATACAACAACCACCAAACTGCTCTGACTCGGGTTGCTTTATCTTTTCCAACTGATCCGACTTTCTGTTTTCCCAAAACTGACCTGGAAAATTCTGGAAAGTCCCATTGACTTAACATTGCACCAAACTTAGTGACCTCATCACTTTGAGTCAGACTGTAATACAGACTTAATGTTGGGCTCATTTAACAACTACCAATATGCCAATCACTGATGACCTTTCAACTTACTAGTTACACCCTAGCAACCACTTACAGCACCCTAGCAACTGTTCAATAGACTTTTGACTACTAAACCACACTGAATTGAATTAATCTGAACTGAAACTCTGAAAACTGAAGTGACGCTGTTTACATTCACTATAATCTTCTGTGTGAAGCTGCTTTGACACAATCTACATTAAACTAGCAATATACTAATACAAATTATACTAGCAACATGCTAATTCATACTCTAAACATACCAGCAACATGCTAATTCATACTAAATTCATACTCACATGCTAGTTTATACTAGAAACATGCTAAATATTATGCTAATTCTAGCAACTACTTGGAACACCTTAGGAACCACCTAGCGACATCTTAGCATCCACCTAGCAATGCCTTAGCAACCACCTAGCAACACCTTGGCAACCATCTAGCAACACCTTAGCAACCGCCTAGCAATCACCTAAAAATGGCTTAAACACCTTAGCAACCGCCTAGTAATGCCTTAGCATCGGCCAAGCAACCACTCAGAACACCCTAGCAACCACCCCGCAACACCTTAGCAATGACCCAGAACACCTTAGCAACAGCCTATCACCACCTTAGGAACCACCTAGCAACACCTTAGCAACCACCTAGCAATGCCTTAATAACCACCTAGCAACACCATATCAACCACCTAGCAACCAATTACAACACCCTGGCAACCACCTAGCAATACCCTAGCATCGACCAAGAACACCTAAGCAACAACCTAGTAACACCTTAGCAATGACTTAGAACACCGTAGCAACCAACTAGCAAAAACTTAGCATCAACTTAAAACACAGTAGCAACTGCCTAGTAATGCATTAGATACTGCCTAGCAACCCAACAGAACATCCTAGCAACATCTTAGCAATGACCCAGAACACCTTAGCAACCGCCTAGCAACACCTTAGTAACCACCTAGCCATGCCTTAGCAACCACCTAGCAAAACTTTAGCAACCACTAAGCAACCACTTAAACACCTTAGCAACCGCCTAGTAATGCCTTAACAATTGCCTAGCAACCCCACAAAACATCCTAGCAACACCTAAGCGACTAACAAGCAACAGCTTAGAAACACCTTAGCAACCACCTAGCAACACCTTGGCAATGACCTAGAACACCTTAGCAATCGCTTAGCAACCAATCCAGAACCCCCTATCAACTGTCTAGCAGGAAACATGCCATTATAAACTAGAATACAGTGATGACTGATTCAGACATCTTGAACTCTACACTGTCAGCAACTACCTAGCAATGCCTTAGCAACCACCAGCAACACCATAGCAACTGCCTAGCAACCAATTAGAACAACCTAGCAACCACCTAGCAACAGCTTAATAACTGCCTAGCAACCACTCACAACACCCTAGCAACTACCTAACAACAACTAAGAACACCATAGCAACTGCCTAGTAATGCCTTAGCAACTGCCTAGCAACCACACAGAACACCCTAGCAACAACTTAGCAACCACACAGTACACCTAAGCAACCACCGAGCAACACCTTATCAACCTCCTAGCAAAACCTTAGCAACCAATTAGAACACCCTAGCAACCACCTAGCATCACCTTAGCAATGACCTAGAACACCTTAGCAAGTGCTTAGCAAGCACCTAGCAATGCCTTAGTAACCGCCTAGCAACCAATCCAGAACCCCCTATCAACTGTCTAGCAGGAAACAGCCAATATAAACTAGAATGCAGTGATGACTGATTCAGACATCTTGAACTCTACACTGTCAGATCACAGAGCTTCAGTCTTGAAGAATAAACCCCGAATCCAGGATAGAGTGTGTGTGTGAATGTGGTGTGGAGTGTGTGTATGAGGCTCATTGTTGTGTCAGAGACGCTGTAGAAGGACAGAGTTCCTGCACTGTGATCCACATACACTCCTATTCTAGAGGAGCTGACGGAGGGTTTAGGGAGAGCAGTCTTTATTTTATTATGCCAGAATGAGAAACTGTAAGGAGAGCACTCCAAACTCCAGGACTGATCATTGTTTCCAAATCCACACTCAATATTCCGTCCCTTCCTGCTGATGCTCTTATATGACACTGATAAATACACAACACCGCTCCACTCCAGCTCCCAGTAAGAGCGTCCACACACACTCTCTCTACAAAACACCTGATACGAACAATCAAATCTGTCTGGATGATCAGGATACGGCTGGACTGAATCTTTATAATCCACCGCTGTGTTTCCTTCAGACAGAACCAGACAGTTATTCACTGTGTTTGGATCCAAAGTGAACTGTTGAGAATCTGATGAAGACAAAAATCAGGAAAAATATCAATGAATTTCTGAGTGACAATAATGAAATCATGACTGTATTATTATTGATCTGTTTCAGTTCATCAGAATGTCTTTACTCTAATATTATTTGCACTTTTGCTGATTAAGAAACAAGAACTATGAATGTTTCAGTACATGTTCAACCCCAAACCAGAACACACTGGGACAGTATAGAAAAGGCGAATCAGGAAAGTGGAGATTTCTAAATGTTCTTTGACTTGTATTTCACTGCAGATGATAAAATAATCCTGATTTAATGTGTTCCTCATGACTTTTATTATTAATCACCAATTTCTGTTCCTGCAACACATTTAAATAAAGTTGTATCAGTAAAGCATTTATCAGTCTGTAATGTTGCCGTTCCTTTTCACAACACTTAAAGACGTTTAGAGACTGAAGACAGCAAGTGATGAAGAGTTTCAGGTGTCATTTTCCTCCTGCAAACAAATCTAAAGGTGTCTTAGGAAGGTTTCTACACAGAGTTGAATAAATGAGACTTTAACTAACCCAGTAAGATAAACTAGCTGTGTGATTATATCTAGAGCTGCTGATTCTGTAGAGTTCAGTGTGTTTAATGTAGATCAGGGTTGATTTGAGCAGTTCAGCACAGTTCAGTCTGATTGATGATATATGATAAGAATATATGGAAACCAGGGGCAGACTGGCCATCTGGCAGACCGGGCAGTTTCCCGGTGGGCTGACATACTTTTTAGGCCGGGCTGATCATCGTCTTATGATCTGACCGGCCCCTAAAAGGCTTGGCAGCCTATCGTTTTTTTCTGCCTTATTAATTGACGCTGCTGTGATCTGTGACTCTCTGAAAGTAGATGCTTTTATTCCCGGACAGACAGACCGGGCTGGCTCATGTGACACTCTGCAGCCCATTGGCTCTTTTCTGTATTGACATTGGGCTGGCCCAATCACAACCTCCTATTTTGGACTCTGTGTGAGCAAGTGTCGTCTGTGTGTATTTGTCAAAATCCGCTTGTTAAGTGGTGACGTGTTTGTGATGTATGTAATACTGTTTCCGGGTCCAAGCCACCACTCATTTGAGTGGAGAAATCATTCGTTTATGATCACTTTTTATTCCTATCACACATTAAAGGTAATTTTACATAAAGTCATAGTTTACACAACAATCTCTAGGCTTGCTGCATAACAAATACCAAAACTTTAACAATGAATAAAACAATGAATCACTTTCTGGCAATCGGATATTAGGCATGGACATGCGATCTTGACTTTTGAAAGTATTAAATCGCTTTGTAAACATTCATTATTACCATTTCATGAGTCTCCCCATTCAGTTGAATAGAGCACTTGGACCTGGAAGACGCTCCACGTGACGTCACACTTAACATAGTCGAGATAGTCGAGAGAAGAAACACAAGGGAGGCGCAGAGAAATCACGGGAAACACACTGGCGTTTCATTTAGCGGTTCTGAAAAGTTCTCCGTTCATTCTAATACATGGCTAAAAACACAAATCACCACACACACTCTGCCCAGAGCTGCAGCCAGTAGTTCAGCGGGTGAGCATAAACCCCAGGGGCCTCATGTATCAACGCTGCGTACGCACAAAAACTTTGCATACGCCAGGTTTCACGCTCAGAATCGCTCACGCTTGGATTTACTAACGATGAACTGAACGTGGGAATGTGCGTGTCTGTTTTATTTCCATTGGCAATTCCACTAAGTGTGTTGGAGCAGGGTTGGAACTAAACTGTGCAGGGCTTCGGCCCTCCAGGAATTGAGTTTGACACCCCTGGTCTAGCAGGTATATAAGATTTTGTAACATATATATTGTAACATATATGCTGGAGGTAAACACTCCGTCAACATTCCATGAAAACAGTCTGGGTTCAGTCGACAGGACGGTTTACGACTCCTGGCTCCACAAGCCTGGGTACACCCGACAGACTTGCGTAATCAAGGGAGACTGGACAGATAAGCCTAGATCTTCAAAGACATTCCTTTCTTACACACACACTCAACTCCCCCACACCCAAAGGACACTAGTCTAAAAATAATTGACTGAGAAACCAGGGACCAGCACAGAACGTTCGAGGTTACTAAAGTAACCCTTCGTTCCCCGAGGAGGGGAACGGAAGCACTATAAGTGGATTTGATTTGTAAAATCCACGCATTGGGAGGATTCGGATCAGAAGCCGCTTGTCTGGAGAGTATTGAACGGGCCAATGAATGAAATTAATTGGCAGCGTAAGCTTGCGCAGGTGTGCGACATCTGCAATTATCTCAGCATATAAGCACACCTGAAGCCAGCAGACGCCATCCTTTTAAGCTGAAGAGACTTTCAAACAGCTAAGGGACAGTCATTATGGCGACGGAGTATAGTGCTTCCGTTCCCCTCCTCGGGGAACGAAGGGTTACTTTAGTAACCTCGAACGTTCCCCTTCGGGGGGAACTTCAGCACTATAAGTGGATTTGATTTGTAAAATCCACGCATTGGGAGCCCATTGAAAGCGCCATAATGACTGCACCTTACCAACACCCCCGATGAGGAGATAGTCAAGCAAGCGTGACGCACCCACATCATGGGGGGCGCGGTCCTCCAACGTGTCCCTGGCCCTAATTTATCCTACTTCAACAGAAGTTTTACGGATTTAGATATATTTTTTGGGAAGTCGTGAGCATCTAGATAATTCTAGGAAATACGACAGTACGTTGGGAAGCGTGCAATCCCGATAGGGAGGACGCTGCGGAGGCCATCCGTTACCCAAAGGGGGGATAGATGGCAGAATTTACATATGGACTAGCCCTAAAAAGGGGGAGTACGCATAGCAAAAGAGTGGTTAGCGGAGAGGGAAGACACGGGTCCGCCCAGGGGGGGGACTTAACCGTGGCGGAATAAGCATATGGGATCACCTAGTGGGGATCACGCATAGCAGGCACCTATACCCAAAACGCGGGCTGACCAGCGGGCAGACCTACAACGTAGTGGGCCAGCAAGTGACTCCTCCGCTGAGTCAGTGCTGGGGGCCACGGAGGAATCTGCAGGGCTCACCTGACGGGGAACTTTACTGACAGATAAAAAAGGCGCACGTACCTCCGTGTTAGGGAGAATGGCGCAGCAAGCGTGTTTCAACACCCTACCGAGTTGTCTCCTCAATCACCAAAGGGTTACCTAATACCCTTGAGGAAACCGGCTCCACTCGCAGATTGTAAAACCTTGCAAATGTGTTGGGTGTCGCCCAGCCCGCAGCTCTACAGATGTCTGTTAGAGAGGCGCCGCGTGCACGCGCCCAAGAGGATGCAACGCTCCGAGTGGAGTGTGCACGAACTCCCGGGGGACACGGCTGACCTCGACTCGAATAAGCGAGTGAAATGGCATCCACAATCCAGTGGGATAATCTTTGTTTTGATACGGCACTTCCCTGCTGCCGACCGCCATAACAGACAAAGAGCTGCTCAGATGATCTAAAATTCTGAGTACGGTCCACATAAATGCGCAGAGCGCGAACTGGACAAAGTAAAGAAAGGGCTGGGTCTGCCTCCTCCGGGGGCAGCGCTTGCAGGTTCATTACCTGATCTCTAAAGGGGGTGGTAGGAACCTTGGGCACATAACCGGGGCGGGGTCTCAGGATGACGTGAGAGTAATCCGGCCCGAATTCCAGGCACGAGTCACTGACCGAAAATGCCTCCAGGTCCCCGACCCTCTTGATGGAGGCCAACGCAACCAGCAGAGCTGTCTTCAGGGACAGAAATCTTAGAGATACTGATTCGAGTGGCTCAAAGGGATCGGATCGCAGACTCGTGAGAACGAGATCCCAAGAGGGCATGAGAGGGGGGCGAGATGGATTAATTCGCCTAGCACCCCTAAGGAACTGGATGACCAGGTTATGCTTTCCCACGGTGCCGCCAGCTACCGCGCTATGATAAGCGGAGATGGCGGCCACGTAAACCTTGAGAGTGGAGGGCGACAGCCTGCTGTCCAACTTCTCTTGAAGGAAAGAGAGCACAACACTAATCTGGCAATTTCGGGGGTCTTCTCTGCGAGAGACGCACCATTCAGTGAATAGACTCCACTTCAGGGCGTAGGCGCGCCTCGTGGAGGGGGCTCTAGCCTGAGTGATGGTATTAACCACCGCAGTCGGTAGGTTACCTAAGTCTTCCTCGCGTCTAGAGACCACACGTGGAGGTTCCAAAGATCGGGGCAAGGGTGCCAGATGGTGCCCTGTCCCTGAGAGAGTAGGTCCTCTCTCAAAGGGATCCGCCAGGGGAGGGCCGTCGCGAGGAGTGAGAGCTCTGATATCCAGGTCCGGTTGGGCCAAAGGGGCGCAACTAGCAGAACCTGTTCCTCGTCCTCCCTGATCTTGCACAGAAACTGCGCGAGCAGGCTCACTGGGGGAAACGCATACTTGCGCATGCCCTGAGGCCAGCTGTGGGCCAGTGCATCCGTGCCGAGAGAGCCCTCGGTCAGGGAAAAAAACAACTGGCAGTGAGCGTTCTCGGGGGAAGCAAACAGATCGATCTGGGCCTCCCCGAATCGCGCCCATATCAGCTGAACAGACTCGGGGTGGAGTCTCCATTCTCCAGGACGTAACAGCTGTCGTGAGAGCGTGAGGAGCAGACGGCGGGCGAGCTGAGACATGCGGCGAGAGCGCATACCCCCCATGCGGTTGATATACGACGCCGTCGCCATACTGTCCGTCCTGACCAGCACGTGTTGCCGCTCCAGCACCGGTAAAAAGCGGTGGAGAGCGAGGAACACTGCCAACAGCTCTAGGCGATTGATATGCCAATGCAGCTGGGCACCCTTCCAGAGGCCCGCAGCCGCATGCCCGCGACACACGGCCCCCCAACCCGTGTTGGAAGCGTCTGTTGAAACAACAACATGGCTGGACGCCTGTCCTAGAGGCACACCGGCCTGTAGGAACGAGGGGTCGTTCCAAGGGCTGAGGGCGCGGCGACACAGCGCAGTAACCGAGACCCGGTGTGTGCCCGCGTGC